AAATAACAATCCCATCGTCCAGTTGTTATTGCGCGACAGTGAGTCTAGCTCCATCCCCCATTCTGCCAGTTCGCTACACAAGCAACCGGGTGATATTAACTGAATAGACTGGATCCGATGATGGCTCACCAATACAAATAACCCACAGCAAATGCTAAAGCACTGCGCCCAGGAACGGTCGTTACTTGGATTGGTGGGTGGGGGTGCATTACATTATACAAGCACCGCTGGACGTTTACTTGAATCAGCTTCCACTACACAAGCCCTAGCGGTCTTTTACTTGTTTTCTGTTTTTTGCTGACGTTAGCGCAAGTACATAAGCAAGCGCCGACTTGCAGGCGGTTTAAGTTTTCTAAGTTCTACAACGTCGAAATTTTCCTGTTTGTAGCAATGAAAAGATTTTCCAATGAATCTCTCCTGTTTGTAGCAGATGCTTACTGAAATGATTCTAGAAAACTTTATTTTCTGTCTCCCTTCTGTTTTCGCCACGTTTGGATTCCTAAGTTTCAGAGCAACTGCTTTCAGAGCAACTGCTTAGGGTTTTCTGGTCAATTACATTCAGAGAAGATTTGTTGTGGGTTGCTGAATCACCACAAGCATCAAACCCTTGCCACAACAGCAGGTTTTGCCAACAAATTTCATCCCCACCATTTTAACTAGTCTGTCACCTCTGTCAGCCCTCTTGCAAAAGCCGTATTTGTGTACTTCCTCTACGTGGAGAGGCGAACCTCGTCAGCCTATTCAAAAAAGTCGAGGTTTTCCACTACACATCCATAGACAGTACAGGTGAAAAAAGGAGGCGCTACTTCGCCTGAATCATGCCGTTCTCTCCAGCTTCTGCGATCAACATCCACTTACTGATGGCAGCAGTCCTTGCCACGTTTACCGACATAACAGCAGCGGGTCTGCGGGAGAATGCAGCGAGAACTGCTGTCGTCCCTAAAAAGATTTCTTCTCTGACATTGTGCATTACTTCGTTTATTACAGTCCTATACTATTTTCTGTATAATTTTAAAATGCATTAGTTTTTTAGGTTGCACGGAGATCGCACGTTCAGGCATATGCCGTAC